AATTAATATTCATATTTATTGCTTTATAATCTAAGGGATTTTTTAAAATAGATTATTTTATTAACAGACTCAATTATAGAAAACACTTGCCTCACTAATTCCCAATTTATATAAACATATTTATTCAAGTTGTTGAAGAATAGTTCAAAATGATAACCTTACATGACAAGCTGAGCAACTGAGTGCTCAGTTTAATAGCATACTTTAATAGCATAAAAATGTAAACATTTCTACAAATCTTTTTTTAAAGAAGAAGAAGAATGTCATACTATTTGTATATTCAGCCCTTTCAGTTTTTTTACTATGTGAGCTGCTCATACATTGTGCAAAAAAATAAAAAAAATAAAATGCCATAGCCATGAATTACTTTTTGGATAGAAAATGTATTTTTGTAAGTTGTAAAGCTTTTAGTAAAAAAAATAAATAATAATAATTCACTTTTTCTTTTTTCTTGGTGTGCATTGGATCTAAAATTCCTATTGTAACAACACACGGCTGCATCTATTTGATCAAAAATACAGTTATATTGTGAAATCTTATAAGAATTTAAAATAACTGGTTTCTATTTGAATATGTTTTCAAATGTTTTTTTTTTGTTTGTTTTTTTGTGATGTTAAAGCTGAATTTTCAGTATCATTATTCCAGCCTTTAGTGTCACATGATCCTTCAGAAATCATTCTTATATGCTAATTTGATGCTTGAGAAACATTTCTTAGTATCATCAATGTTGAAAACTCCAAATAAAATACTGAGGTGCTAAGGAGGTTAGTGTGTGAAGATATACAACTGTTCATAAATTTGTGGTCTGCAATATTTTTTTTTCTTTTGAAAAATAATATTTTAATTAAGTATGAATTCATTAAATAAATCAAAAGAGAAAAAAAAGATTTATAATGTTTAAAAAAGATTTGTAAATTTATGGTGCTTTATATTTTTGTGGAAACCGTGCTACATTTTTAAAAGTATTCTTTGATGGAAGTTCAAAACCTCAGCACTTATTTAAAATAGAAATCTTTTGCAACATTATAAATCTTTTTTTCTCTCTTTTGATTTATTTAATGAATTCATACTTAATTAAAATATTATTTTTCAAAAGAAAAAAAAATCTTGCAGACCACAAATTTTTGAACAGTTTTATATCTTCACACACTAACCTCCTTAGCACCTCAGTATTTTATTTGGAGTTCTATTGAACCACTCACTATTTATATAGCATTTGTGCAATACTGAATGCAATATTGTAAAAGTTTGCTTATATCTATCTCAGTATTAAACAGAAAATAAAACCAGAATTAATAAGATTGCATTAGAATGTGAAAAAAAGTGGTACACTATTCCTTTGGCAAGATGCAGGTACTGTAGCAGGCATAAAGTTTACATTGCCTATGGCAGCTCTGTAAAATGTAGGGTCGGGTCTGATATTTTGTGCCACATCTTCTCAGCGTTCCCTAACTGCTGATACTGAACATGTCGAGCATCACTCCGAGTCATGTTCGTGTGTGGATTTTGAACGTTCCTCAGTGAATGCTCACTGACATGCTTGGCTTTCTCCACAGCTTTTTCCAGTAGTTTGTCCTCCAGAATGGCTGAAGTCTCCTGCTCCACATAAACCTCATAGAGTGATTTATAATATGGCTTCCATCAGGTCATGAGAGATGAGCTTATTGTCAACAAAAATGAAAGGCCAAGAATAAGAATTAGGCCAATTACCTAAAGAAAAAACAGATAAATAAAAATGAAAAAAAAGCACAGGTCAATGCATAACACGTATAGTATAAAATGAAGAAAAAAGAAATATATCCTTTAAAAAATAATTTTACAACAATACACCATTCCACCAGCATCATTTCAGAAAGTAATCAGCAGAGAAATAACTCATAACGTGATCCTTTTCATTCATTTTACAATTTCATTTTATATATAATTTCAGAGGGCATGACGAACAGATCCAATCAAATTTATACATGTTAAAAAAAAATTTGAAAAAATGCTCACCAAAATGGTAAAGATGTCCATTGATGGTAATTTCAGTCTAAATATTAATGGTAATGGCAATTCTGCATCAGTTTCAGTACAGTGTTGTTATAACTAAAACTAAAATTATTACAAATCTTTTTGGTAACTGAAATACAATAAAATATAAATATTCAAAAATTAAAATGTTAAAAAAATGTAATATTAGAAATGTTGATTGGCAACTAACTGAAATAAGTTTAAAACGTTAAAAAGTTAGTAAAAAGTTACTAAAAGAAGGCTAGATAAAAAATATTAAACAAACAATAAAAATGGCAAAAGCACATGACAAAATTACTTGAAGTTAAATTGAAATGAAATCTGAAAATATAAAATAAAAGCTAATTCAAAATATTTCTAAGTGCTACACTATAATAAATACTATAATATTATAAATAACACTATACAAATACTTTCAATCTTGAATTGTATTAACATTTTAAATATCTTACAAACATTTATGGTTATGGTAAAGAAAATTGCGCATAAACAAGTGCAGTTGTGTTCTAACCGACAAGGGATGTTTATTCATTAATTCATTATAATTTGTTTGCGTTATTTTTTCTCTCTTGCAACTTTATAAAATTGGGCACATCTGATTTCTCTCGGAGGGACAGCATTTTATTTATAGCATTTTATTTTTGACAGATACTAACGCAGAACGCATAAAAGAGGTGAAAGATGTAGGAATAGCAATAGAATGAACAAAACAGACTGATTTAAAAAAAAAACAGTATATAAAATGAACCCGTGATTCACTATCATATTTTCTTAGAGTCTCTGCTTCACGTGGAGTTGGTAGATCCTTGCACGCAATTTGCTCCCCGGTACCGTTCACATTCACGGTCCGCACGCAAACGTACCAATCCCCGTCAATAAATGCAACGACGATCCATAGCGATGCTGCATAAAAGACATTGAGTAGGTGTTTCCATATGATGCCACAGTAATACCATCCTTCCTGTCCACAACGCTCCGGGTGATAACAGTAACCACCAGCACAACAGCAGCATTCAAAAGTATCGCAGCACTCCCTCTTACAGCATCTGCTCTGGCCGCTCACGCAACATCTGCATATCTTCAGGAGCCGAGCGTCCATGAGGATCATTATGAAGAACAGGATGCCTATTGGCAGGCACAGGTAGAGCCAGCAGTGCAGGAGAGTTTCCTCGGGAGTTGTGCAAGGGCATGTGAACACATATTTGAAGAAGATAAGCATGGCTATGACTGACAGCTGTCCTGATGGGCACATTTCTGAGTACATAAGTCGAAAAGACCGTGTTCCGAGCAGTGTTGGGGGTAATATATTACAAGTAACGCAAGTTACGTAATCAGATTACTTTTTTTCAAGTAACTAGTAAAGTAATGCATTACTTTTTAATTTACAAGAGAATATCTGAGTTACTTTTTGAAATAAGTAACACAAGTTACTTTTTTTTTTCAATTTATTGATTGTCAGCTCTCCTGTCCCCATGTTGAGAGAAATCAGAATGTAATGCATTACTTTTAAAAGTAACTTTCCCCAACACTGGTGCCGAGCATATCTGCATGTACACTTAACGGAACACATGCAAATGGAGTGATGCTGCTATAAAGCACCGCCGATTGAGAAAAATCTCCGCTGTTCAGTGAACACGACACGATGTTCCTGATATCCGCTGCTTCGTGTCAGTGTTGCCAACTAATTTTCAGGTAAAGTTGCTAAAGGCAGGTCGATTTGTTGCTAAAAGTTGCTAAATGACATTGTGACATCACTGGATGATGATGTCATTATGTAACCATGACACAAAACTGTATCATTGCGTAGAATACACACTGAAATTACTCAAAACTCAGCAAAGAATATAATTTGTAATATGTTCATTTAGATTTGTTTGTAAAAATAAAACATTATTATTTGTAAAAGTAATAAAAACACATTTTTATTACATTGAATTATTTAAAAGTTACACATTTTTGAAAAATTACATTTTATGTATTTTCTAAATAACTAGTAACACTACACTTTATTAACAATTACAGTTTTAAGCAGTGTATTGGTAGTAAGTTAAATGCTACACTCTTAAGGAAAGTCCATAAAAATAGGGCACAGTGTATGTGTTAACATATGAAGGAATTTTCTGTATTAATTTTTCACTAGCATTTTACCTGTATTTTAAATTACACATTCCATTTAGATGAGATAGATTGATTTTTGAGATAAGATCAACAGTGTACCTAACTGATTAACCATTATAGGCACAAAATAACAACTACGGTGTATCATAAATGAGCAATTATTATTGAACAAGTGCAACTAGCAACTTGATTCACATGATGTGATGTGTGTACTGCTGGGCAGCTCTCTCCACAGCTGATGTGCTGCTTGGCTGGCTAGGCTAGCTGTTTAATCATTTCTTTTTTTGTGTGTGGTTAAGAGGAAAAATGCATGCCTTTTTAATCATTTGAGTCACTTTTCTAAAGTTGCTAAAATTTGCCAGATACATTTTAAAAATAGCAAAATTTGGTGCTAGGTGCTTTTTGGAAAGCAAGTTGCTAGGGTAGTCTGAAAAGTTGCTAAATCTAGCAACAAAATTGCTAAATTGGCAACACTGCTTCGTGTTCTCAGTGGATGGGGCAGAGGAAAGGGAGGAACCATTGGAATTCTCCCACAACAGAAGCCTCTGTTTGGAGAGATGCAGCGCCCCTCTATGTTTGCATGCATATACTGACATGCGTTGGTCACATATTATGTGCCGTATTTAACTTATTTAAGCCTTAAACAGAAAGAATCTGGTGTAGAACTGAGATTATTAAATATGACAACTAAACTGTGGTTTTAAGGTGTTTTAAGGAGATCGAACGTTCATTTTAAACAGTTTAAAGGTGTGCGGTTTCTTCATAGGAAACTGTGTTTCGACCACTGGATGACCCCGAATTGGGGGCGTGTCTTTACTGTAAGTAGGCTATGTATGAGTCAGGAACAGTCTATGGTCAGGAAGCACTTACTGAATGTTACACTGCACGCTATTTACGCATTCTTTAATAGTACTTTCTTCAAATCTAAACTTGTCACTCGACTCTGACTTTGTCCTCGGTAAGATGCTCTTCTGTCTGATAATGACATGACAACACTAGCGATAGAAATACTGCGGCTGGAATTATTTTATATTTTATATCAAAAGAAAGATCGTTTAATTTGTTTCATTTATATATCAATATGTGTATTATGCATAAAGTCTGATTTACTGTATTTAGTGAATAGTCGAGGTGTTTACCTGCATGTTTTTGTGTTGATGCGGAAATGGAAAGACACCCTATTTTTACACCGTTTATCATATTATCATATTTATCATATTGCTATGTACTGTAGGCTTCATTGCAGTTTTTCTTTGCCTTTCTGTCGCTTTTCTCTGCATGTTTAGACACTGCTGGCATCATGACAGTGTTTGAAAACTGTACTGTGGTGTTAGATGTGAAAAATCTGCCTTTTAAAGAGAAGAATAAACTGCGACTAGCTCTGCTGGAGAATGGAGGAAACATCTCATATGGCATCAACAAAGAGGTTCGTATTGTGATAATTTTTTATAATCTAATAACTTACTTTTCTGTCTTTTTTCTGTTATAAAAACTAAGAGCAGTTATGCATATAAAGTAACTTATTTATAAATAAGAAGTTGGGTTTCAAAGTTGCATAAAATTTGGACTTCTTGGACAAAACCAAGTTCCTACAAAAGGAACAAAGGAATTACCACTAATGATTTAAATAAAAAAGAAAAAGAAAAAAGCAATAAAAGTGACACAAAAATATATTATATCAGTGGAATGATTGTACTGAGTCATTAAAGAGCTGCAGTGTATCTTCTGACCTCCGTTTATCTTCTCCAGTGCTCTTTTGTAGTCACTAGCAGTGTGAATGACCTGAGCAGTAACCGGCAGCGCAGCATCCAGAAGCTCCAGATCCCAGTGGTCGGGACGCAGTATGTGTGGAGCTGTCTGGACCAAGGGCATCTCCTGCCTTTGACGGAGAATAATTTGGCCCCACAGCTGCCGTATCCCGGCTCTGAATTCCTTCCCCGTTCAGGTAGTAGTTTCTTGTACCTCATTTAAGGAATTCTTTTCTTTCTTTGTTAGAACAGATGTTTGTCTCGAGTGATACTGTAAGGTTTACTTACATCAGATGTGAAAGGAGGTGGATTGACAGAACAGATGGGAGTGTCACAGCCAGATTAGTTTTATTTGCTAACAGTGGGTGTGTTTTTTTCAACACTGCTTGTGTTGCAGTGCATTTTTGTTGAGAAATGTATTTGACGTTATATTTGGGTTATAAAAATGAGATTAAACAATCTATTTCTATGGCATAGTTTACAATAATGTTGTTTTTCACCATAAAGAGGTAAAAGTGTCGACACACAAACTAGAAAAAGAGAAGTTCAAAGGTCACACTCAGCTCCCAAAGACTGAGGTTGAGATTCTTGAGAAGGGTGGACCCCGTCCCGGCAGGTTCAGGTGCGCTCTTGTTTTTTGTCACTGTCAGTGTCAGAGTTTATTCAACAGTTTTTTGTTTTTAATCAGCTTCTACAGCACTAGTGCTGTTTAGATGTGCTTGTTTACCTGACTGCATCTTTTCATTTACTCAATGCAGAGTTTATAAAGAAGGTGATCATGGCCTGCCTGAATTTCCTTCTTATTTTCAAGTAGCCAAGTATTCGGTTTTTGAGAGGGTGAGTGAGTTCACGCATCAATCACATTAACATTATTAGTGGACATCAGGGGAGAAAATAAAATAAATAAATAAAAGATATGATAACACTTCACCACTGCACCACTGTTTGAAAGTGTTTTCATGTCTGCAAGTGTTTGATTGTGTGTTGCAGGTCAAACCCAAGGCTTTGTCTGTTTTGGAGCTGCAGAGTGCCAAAGGCCGAGCAGGCCAGCAGTATCGTGTGTTGTGTTCAGTCTTGCATGAAGCTGAGGTTTGGTGATCCTGAATGTTGTTTAAAAATTCACCTTGTTATCATTGGAATCATAAATGGTGCTGAATTTGTCTTGTGGTGACGGTGATGGGCTCTCTTTCACTATAGACCGCTGTGGTTCAAAACAAACTTGTGTTCTGTGTGACGTCTGAAGATACTGTGGAAGCATATCTGCAGCTGATGAAGGAGATGGAGACAGAGAGATTCACCAAGACACACACACTTCCCCCTGAGGTTGAGCACTTGGCATCCTACAGCCTGCAGCAGGTTAAATAAACAACGCAGATCTGATTTTATTCATTTGATATATGTATAACATGTCTAATGTGAAATAATTGCTCACTCTTTTGATTGGCAGCTGCTGTTGGAGGAGAAGCTGAACTGAAGCACATTATTTCAGAACACATCTTTAATTGATGGTGTTAATCTTGTATCCACTACAGGCCTGTTCAGATTCAGCAGATACTGCGTGTCAGCAGAGGGGTGGAGCTTCAGTTGTTCAGGGAGGATTTAGGCAACATTAAACCCCTCCTCCACTCCACTAGTTCCAGCAGTTTTGTTGGAATACTGTCTCGGTAAGAGTTATTAATAAATCATTTTTAAATTATTAACTTAAAGTGAGTGCTGAATTATAGCAAAGGCAATCTTAATGTAACAATCAAGGAAATGAGGAATACAAAAACCAATAAAGACCAATCCTGAAAAATAAAACAAAACTAATAACAAATCTAATATCTGATTATACATTGATTGAAGTTACTTTTTGTAATGTCTATTCAGTAATTTTCTCTTCTGCAGTAGTCATGGCTTTTCTTTATTTTTGACCTTTTCTCAGAAAATGTTGATATATATATGATTAATTGTCATTAATTTGATTGATCAGCTTATCGTGTAATTTATTGAATATACTATAGAATTCACAGGGAAATTCACTAAAGATTCACTAAAAATGCACCTGCTGATGAGTAACAATATAAAAGCCAGTTATTTAATGTAGCAAACCACGTTTTAGCATAATTTAACACTTAACCTTTAACCTTTATAACATCATGCTTTATATACAGTAGCACCTGGTCTACTTTGGACAATGGGTGGTTACAGGGTTGTTGCGTTGTTTGGTTTAGTGTATGGTTTTTATGGTTTTTCATTCTTCAGGGAGTTTTCTCTGTCCATGTCCATTGAAATGCCTTATGAGATCATCAACTTGAGCTCTTCACACCGCATCAAAACCAAGGTTATTAATTCACTTTTGTGCATTATCTTACTAAATACTGTCTTTTCTGAAGAAAAAGAAACATTCAGTTATGAGCCATATTAACAGTATTAGTGTTTTCCCCATTCAGAGGACAGACTGTAAGGCAGTGATCAGCACGTTACCGGGACAGACTCTGGGATCTGAAGGGTTACATGTGTCCTTCAGTCTTTCTAATATCCACATGCCCAGGATGTGGGTCGAGAACCATCCGGATAAAGATAGTCAGGTAAAGAAATGATCACTCTAATGTGTTTTCCTATATTGCGAGCATATTGCACACAAAAATTGCCACTCTCCATCTTATGCACCCTGAAAATAATGATCTGATCCGGATCTGATCCCTGCAGGCCTGCATGCTGGTGTTCAGACTTTACTTTACTAAACTGCATTGTTACTTATTGTAGTTGTTATTAGGAGTGGGTCATATATTGAATATTCACAATAAAATTAGGCAACATCATGAATGTAGTGGTAATTTTAGTGTTTCTTCAGTGTTACAGTTAGAGTTGGTATGTTTTTATTCATTTTATGAATCAGTTCAAACTGTTTCAATGAATTGATTTAAAACTAAATCAACAATTCATTTGCATAATCACTGAAAATGTTCATGCATGTAGATGTATCAGGAATGTATTGATACATCAAAATATTTCAGTAAAAATATATGTACTGTTGGTAAATACTTACGTTTTTTACAGATTACTTTTATATTTGTGCCAGTGGCATGCAGTAGTGTTTGGAAATCTTTTATGTAAATTAATGTTCCAGTTCCAGTCCCCTGATTGGTGCATATAATAAATGAAAATAATTAAATATCAATTTTTACAGAATTGTAGTTTTTAATTTAATATTTTAATTGAATCTACTTGGCTACAATGTTTAAAAACATAAGATTTACCAGGACAACTGTGTAATAGTAATCAAGGCTGTAAAATATTAATACATTTTAGCTGAATTGCCCAGTTATTTGTGTGGTTATTTATTGTTTTGAATTGTGTAATATTTACTCGTTTAGGCCACACTGTTTGGTGATTTGAGTGGACAAGAGATCAAAACAATGGTTTCCACCACAGAACTACAAAAGACAAAGGGAACTGTGAGTGAGCATCTTAAATACTTCATATAATCTGAAACCTCATCAGTTATTCATTAGGTGTTTGAAGAGTTGTGTGTGTGTGTGTGTGTGTGTGTGTGTGTGTGTGTAGTTCCTTCACAAGTTAACAGCAAGAGCGATCATCAGAGACTATGAAGATGGCATTCTAGGCAACAGTGAGGCAGAACACGAGGTACAATATTTGGCTGCATGATGATAATTTTTATATAATTGGCAGATTTGCTAACAGAAGAACTTGACTTGCTCTCTTTTATCTCTCTTCTATCAGGGGAAGAAAGCAGAGCTGAAGTCCTACATCACTGAGCTCAGTAAAGAGTTCTCCATCTTGTCCCAGTTCACAAGTTTTGTCGCCATTGAAGAGAGGGTATGATTACTGCTAATGTAGGGACTGATGCTAATCATAATGTAAAATTACACATCCAGTTTCAGAATTAATGCCAAATCTGTATTGAGTATCTTATTGTTATCTTCAGAAATACAACATTTGCAGCGCGGGTGGTTGACTGACTTAATCACCAATGTATATAATTAATCTGTAATTAAATCTGTAAAAATAGTGTGTTGTATCTAGGTAGTCATGCCATAATAACAAATAGTTCACACATAAATTGTTTAATATTGATAATAAAGAAAAAAAATTACATCTGTACACACAGGGAATCACTTTTTTCACAAAACGGCAGAATCAAAGTAATTCTAAGTCAGATATGTCATGAATTAATTTCTGTGAATTGTTTTAAACTGAGTGACAATAAAAATACCAACTAATGCCCTCATTTGCTCTTTGCAGGACCAGAATGAGCTTGACACTGGATTCACAGATATTCCTAAAATCATATCAGAAGACAATGTGGATATTTTGCCATATATGGGCTGGACTGAAGAGAAGCTGAAGACTGTGCATATTATTGTTGCTGAAGATGGCATACCGGTAACAATAAAATGCTCTATCACAGCTGTTAAGTAATGTGATATAAGTTGACATCATTCAGTATTCAACTCTTCAGTATTCACGACAATGATTTTGACTTTTTTTTTTCAGATGGAATCAGAGCGATGCAGCAGTAGCTCCACATCTGAAGAAATTCTGGGTTCTGCTCATGAAGCAGCTGATTTTGATGATGATGATTCAGAGGATGACTATGAATCTGTTAATGATTTTATAGAACAAGCATCAGCAGTTAGCCGTGCTCTTCCTCGCTCCAAAAGCCTCTGGCGTCCTTCACGTTTTGAAGGTAGCACTGACACTTTCAGAGGCTGTCTGAAAACTAAACCTGTTGTAACATATCCCCATCACCTTTCCATCGAGCATGGTGCATTAATGGATGCTCCCAGTCCCCTTTTTCTACAGGAGTTAGGAGAACCTCTCTGCATGGATAACAGACTTTCTCCTCCTCCTCCTTCTGGTGGTGCCTCCATGAGTGTCAGACATCCCCCTCCAGATGCCTCCCAGGTTACAGCCTCGATGCCTCCTCTCCTTGACCTTCCCTGTTACTTTGAGGCAGTGGAATCTCTCTTAGATTACAGCCTTGATTTCCACACTCCCATAGGTGCCTCAGTGGATGCTCTTCGTCCGCAATGTCGTCATCTCCGTCATGAGTTAATGGAACCTCCCTCCATGGTTCTCCCTCCCCCTGCCACCCAGCTTTCCTCTGCCACAGAGTTCGCCACCGAGCTTTATACCTCAACTACTCCTGTCTGTGCAGATCTTCCTCATCCTCCTCGTCTTGCATCTCAGCAATTCATGTCCATGACTTCCAGCCCTGCTCCTCCTCCTACTCTTTTTGGCAGTGTGGGCGCATCTTTTTCCAGGAGGCACAGGGCTGCTGCCCCCATTGTCTTTGATCAACCCGCAATGTCTGCACCACCCTCTCTCCCTCGATCTGGTGGCTTTGGTGGTTTCCTCCAACAATCGAATGAGTCTTTGGGTTTTGGTTCCTCAGACTCTGGACTCTTTGGAGCATCTCTGCAGAATCTAGCCACTCTGAGTTCTGCATCTTGTAAGTTGACTCACACTGATGAGATTTCATATGATCAATGTTGAGATGGAGTAAAAACAGCTTTCTGTTTTTTTATATTGTTGTCTCCTCTTTCTGTCCTTTCTCTGATGAAGCTACACACAGTGCCGCTTTCACCCCGGCTCCCCCTCTTCCTGCTCACTCTGTTCTCTTTGGTCAACCTACAGTTCCCAAGTATGCTACTGGCATGTCAAATGCGGTTGCATATGGGAGCACTACTGGTGTTCTGCAAAAGACAACTGAGCCTGAACAGTATCGTGGTTTCTCAGTTTCTAGCTTTGGAGCATCTCAGCAACAACAAAAATACCCTGTGTTTTCTGCAGCTGGTAAGTTGACTCACATTGATGAGGTTCTATAACTGATCAATGTTCAGATGGATTAAAACCATTTGTCAAACCTATGTCTCATTTCTTATTATGCTGGAGCCAAAGTCATTCCTAAGCTTAGAGGGAAAATGGCTCTGTCATTTCGGGGAAAACAAATAAGCAGACCTCACACAGTGGCCTGGAATGAGCTGTTTGAACTTCAACATGAGGTGTTTACATATGATTTAAAACACTAGATTATATACAGTATGTAAATGATTGAGGGAATATGAACATATGCGTTGTGTTTGGATGTAGGATGGATACTGGGAGTGCACTGACAGGCTGAGCAGCTTCCTCAACCTGGACGTAGACTTTTTTGCCAATGTCTTCCTTAAGGAGAAAGGCATCCGTTCTTTTGGTAAGAAGATTTTTTTACATGCTTGTTGCTGGTCTGGTCCATATTGCAGTTTATTCTCGACAAGAACTGCCCACTTAGACAGGAAGAGACATCTGACTGGCACGTAAAGCAACTAATCACAGTTTGTTTATATGTGCCATTTAGGTGCCATATGTACCTTGTGAACACAACTGTTTCCAGACAGACTGAGAAAAACACCTGTGCCTTTACTGTGTAACACCATCCAATCATAGTAGAGCTTACTAGACTGAGAAAGTGCTTTCCAGTTTAAAGAGCAATATGCATCAGGCTGAATCTGAATATAGTTTAAAATAATCTAATCTTTATTTTTCAGGCACAGTTTGTCAGTGAGGATCAGTTAATCAGTCACATGTTTTGTCTGTCAGGTGTGAAGGCTCATGCTGACATTCTGAGGCTGGTGGCGACTCTTCTGGTGCTGCAGCTGATCCGGGTGAAGAAGCTGGCAGTGGGACAGCTGCTCGAGTCTCTCCTCCGGCTGAAAGAGTCCCAGGAGCCCAGGTACCAGCACACGTCCTCATACAGCGCAGTGATTTACTCTTGTATTTTTGGATCCATGACTTTCTACTCTTCTCCATTCAGACCGATGTACTGGGAAGCAGTGAAGAGGGCCGTGGCCTGGGCCTGCCGGACAGACAGACAGTATCCGTGTGTGTGCAGCAGGCTGGAGATCGGCCGGGATTGGGAATCATCTACACGTCAACTACTGGGCTGTGATTCTCCACACCCATATTCCCCACTCAAACCTGTTCTGGAGAGACGTACGGGTGTATCAGTCATGTAGAAACTGGACAGACACTTCCCTCTTCATTGACAGTTGCTGCTTCACTTGCTGTTTGCTTAATATTGCTTGCTTAATAAATGTCTTTATGAGACTTTGAGCTTTATAGTGCTCTCAAAAATATATCTGGACTCCTGGACTTCATAAGATGCTTGAATTTCATTGCATTTAAAAGAAAATATGAAAACGAGTGCCCTTTTTGCTAACCTTTTTTTTTTCAGAACTAGACATTTGTTCAGTTACTTGTAATCAAGTGTCGCTGTGATTTTTAGTGGACGTATGAAGTCATTTCTCCTCAAGTTCACACAGATGTCCTAGCAGAGCAACAAACAGCTGTAGATGCAGTATGTTGTTTTATCATTAAAAGCTTAAATTCTATTTGTGAAATGTTTTACTGACAAGTGTGCATGTGCTGTCTTTTTTAAAATAAATGAAATACATTAAAATAAAGATAAATCGGGGAGCGCGGGGCACAAAGTAACGCGGGGTTAGTTGTAACACACATGGTTTGAATATTTCCACACATGCTAGCATAACAAAATTTATAGTATTTATTTCTTACTATATCAACATTATATAGGAAAAAAAGTGCCAAAATTCACAAATCTTTTCAAGATATCATTGAACATTCTGAAAATTAAAAATTCTGGCTTAAGTCAATTTTTCATCTCTGTTTTTATTGATCATTTAAAATGAGACAAATATGCTATTATTTTAATCTCCAATCTGTTATTTATCAGTTCAGATCGTTTTTTAATGCTTTGATAACTAGCAGAAGACACTAACCAGTTTTAAATTCCAGTTGCACAGATGGGGCACGTTGTAACACTGCGTTACAATGTGCTATTCTATGACATTAGCGATGTAATTTACACTATTTACTTTAATTAATTTTAATGAGCAACAGGTGAATAAAGACTGACAGTCAATGTTTAATGTTTAGAAATTCTTATTTCAAGACATGTAAAGCATTTTTGCTCGTTTATGTGGGCCGTCCCAAGCATGATTGCAATGTGTTCATTGTCAAACTCCAAAATCAGATTATTTTTCATTCTTAAAAAACGCCATTATTTTATTTGAAAAAAATAATTATTTAATTTTATTAACAAAATATTTTAGTTTGTCTTGTATATTTTTTTCATTCGATCAAATAACATTTTAAGCTGTTATATGGTCATGTTACAACGTGCCCCTCAGATGTTACAATGTACCCCACCTACGGGGCATGTTGTCACATTTCACTTACTCTGTGCCCCGCTCTCCCCATATTGTTACGCTAAATATTAGCATCTCAAGGACAAACGGTCACAGAATGTCTTCTGTTCTGTGTAATCATACACACACACACACACACACACACACACTGGTGCTTCAAACCAGATATGTTGATACACTATCTTTAGAAGAAAAAAAAAATTAAATCATGGAGGATTATTAAAATAATCATACAATATATTTTTACATTGGGAATTACTTGTACGGTCGTTTGTAATTACTATCAATTGTTATTGTAATAATACTGTGTTTAAAAAGACACAGTAATGCAGTGTCTGTTTTATTCATTGGATTTTTTTCAGAGATGTTGCAGATGAGAGCAGTGATCAAATATACCGAAACTACTCTGTGTTTTAAAATATTGGTGACTTTATGGTTTTGTAGTAGAGATTGGAACATTTTGAAATATATTTCAAATATATATGAGTAAAAAACCGTATGGACTGGGCTGTACATTTTCTGCCTATTTTATCAGTCAGAAAAATGTCACGGTCGGTCGCTGATATCAAAACGATGAATGGAGCAAAAGCTCGGTCAAACGCGGTTGTATTTTTCTTTTATTCAGCTCTCACATTGTGAAAAAGACATCAGACTTTGGTCACCGGATATAATCAATAATTGTTTCTCCTCAAATTCTCTCCAGGTTTTTTTTCCCCAACGTAAGGACAGTTTGGACCACTGGATGGAGCCCGTCTAATGTTTTTATCTCAGGGAAGAATGGAGGCGTGTCTTTACTGTAAGTATGAGTCAGGAAGCACTTACTGAACTTTACACTGCACGCTATTTACGCATTCTTTAATAGTATTTTCTTCAAATCTAAACTTGTCACTCGACTCTGACTTTGTCCTCGGTAAGATGCTCTTCTGTCTGATAATGACATGACAACACTAGCAAGAGAAATACTGCGGCTGGATTTGGATTATTATTGTCTGTTTAACTACTTTCTATCAGGAGAAAGATTGTAACTTGAGAAATGTAACATGTTTTATGCATGTGTCAGTATAAATATTGTGTATAAATCTGATTTGTTTAATGAATAGTCGATGCGTTTACTCGAACAGGTTTCTGTTGATACTTAATAGAAAACAGATGCTATTATTTTTTGTAGTGTTCACGTGATTATTATTTACTGTATGATTCATTGCAGTTTTTCTTTGTCTTTCTGTCGCTTTTCTCTACATCTCCAGACACTGCTGGCACCATGACTGTGTTTGAAAACTGTACTGTGGTGTTAGATGTGAAGAATCTGCCTTTTAAAGAGAAGAATAAACTGAGACTAGCTCTTCTGGAGAATGGAGGAAACATCTCGTATGTCATCAACAAAGAGGTTTCTGTTCATTTTTTACTCTTACCCGTCTTTCTTTTTTGTGTTGTCAAAACTAAAAGAGCAGCTACTCTGAGAGCTTTTTACACGCAGATAAAGAGTTGGGTTTCAAATGACATTTACACAATTAACAAACATTTGGTTTGTTGAACCCTCTGATACTATTCAATTAAAGTAGTTAAAAATAACGCAGGGACATTTATAATCCAATGAATGACTAGATGCAGATTACAGTTGTTGTTTTTTTTGTTTGTTTTTTTTACTTCTGATGAAAAAAAATTTTGAATAAAAAAAAGGCAAAAGCAAATAGAAACACAACATTTTTCAATCTAAAATGATTGAACAGTACCAGAAGGTTAAAATTAACTACTCTAATGCTCGACTAATTTTATGTTGTAATGTAGATGTAACTGCACTTTATGCTTTATAATGCTTAAAGTAGGTAATAAGTAGGTAAAATCACTAAAGAGCTGCAGTGTATCTTCTGACCTCCGTTTATCTTCTCCAGTGCTCTTTTGTAGTCACTAGCAGTGTGAATGACCTGAGCAGTAACCGGCAGCGCAGCATCCAGAAGCTCCAGATCCCAGTGGTCGGGACGCAGTATGTGTGGAGCTGTCTGGACCAAGGGCATCTCCTGCCTTTGACGGAGCATAATTTGGCCCCACAGCTGCCGTATCCCGGCTCTGAATTCCTTCCCCGTTCAGGTAGGAGTTTCTTGTACCTCATTTAAGGAATTCTTTTCTTTCTTTGTTAGAACAGATGTTTGTCTCGAGTGATACTGTAAGGTTTACTTACATCAGATGTGAAAGGAGGTGGATTGACAGAACAGATGGGAGTGTCACAGCCAGATTAGTTTTATTTGCTAACAGTGGGTGTGCTTGTGTTGCAGTGCATTTTTGTTGAGAAATGTATTTGACGTTATATTTGGGTTATAAAAATGAGATTAAACAATCTATTTCTATGGCATAGTTGACAATAATGTTGTTTTTCACCATAAAGAGGTAAAAGTGTCGACACACAAACTAGAAAAAGAGAAGTTCAAAGGTCACACTCAGCTCCCAAAGACTGAGGTTGAGATTCTTGAGAAGGGTGGACCCCGTCCCGGCAGGTTCAGGTGCGCTCTTGTTTTTTGTCACTGTCAGTGTCAGAGTTTATTCAACAGTTTTTTGTTTTTAATCAGCTTCTACAGCACTAGATCAACCAAGGTGATCATGGCCTGCCTGAATTTCCTTCTTATTTTCAAGTAGCCAAGTATTCGGTTTTTGAGAGGGTGAGTGAGTTCACGCATCAATCACATTAACATTATTAGTGGACATCAGGGGAGAAAATAAAATAAATAAATAAAAGATATGATAACACTTCACCACTGCACCACTGTTTGAAAGTGTTTTCATGTCTGCAAGTGTTTGATTGTGTGTTGCAGGTCAAACCCAAGGCTTTGTCTGTTTTGGAGCTGCAGAGTGCCAAAGGCCGAGCAGGCCAGCAGTATCGTGTGTTGTGTTCAGTCTTGCATGAAGCTGAGGTTTGGTGATCCTGAATGTTGTTTAAAAATTCACCTTGTTATCATTGGAATCATAAATGGTGATGAATTTGTCTTGTGGTGACGGTGATGGGCTCTCTTTCGCCATAGACCGCTGTGGTTCAAAACAAACTTGTGTTCTGTGTGACGTCTGAAGATGCTGTGGAAGCATATCTGCAGCTGATGAAGGAGATGGAGACAGAGAGATTCACCAAGACACACACACTTCCCCCTGAGGTTGAGCACTTGGCATCCTACAGCCTGCAGCAGGTTAAATAAACAACGCAGATCTGATTTTATTCATTTGATATATGTATAACGTGTCTAATGTGAAATAATTGCTCACTCTTTTGATTGGCAGCTGCTGTTGGAGGAGAAGCTGAACTGCAGCACATTATCACAGGAAGTTGGTGTCTTCGTGGAGCTGGTTTGGACTGAAGCTCTCGGGTCCCTTAATAAAATCCTGACAGTCCCTGTCTCCAGAATCAGCCTCAATGACGTGAGAATGAGCTTAGATAATCACACACAGCTCAGTAAAGAAGCTGACAGGAATTTGCTGTGTTTAACGGTTCCAGTGTGTTTACTGGTGCTGTGCTGCTGCAGGTGAGCAGGGTGGAGGGATTGTTACTGCAGGCACAAAAGACTGAGAAAGAGGATGAAGTCAAAGCCCTGCTACAGGAGGTCAACACTCTTCTGCCCCTCAGAATGTTCGACCCTCCTTCCAAACACAAGCTTGTGTCTCAGAAACTGGACCTTTGTCAGGTATCACATACATCAATTATAGTATAAAATTCTTATATTATTTTAGGACCATTAAGATCATGGTATTATAATATTATTTTCATGATAATTAAGCTATTTTTCTTAATACTTTCATTTCTGGATGGTTTTACTTTTAGGTGTTTTTGTAATTCTCATTATTCTTAAAAATGATTGTCATTTATATAGATAGACACACACTTCCCCCTGAGGTTGAGTGCTTGGCATCCTACAGCCTGCAGCAGGTTAAATAAACAACGCAGATCTGATTTTATTCATTTGATATATGTATAACGTGTCTAATGTGAAATAATTGCTCACTCTTTTGATTGGCAGCTGCTGTTGGAGGAGAAGCTGAACTGCAGCACATTATCACAGGAAGTTGGTGTCTTTGTGGAGCTGGTTTGGACTGAAGCTCTCGGTTCCCTTAATAACATCCTGACAGTCCCTGTCTCCAGAATCAGCCTCAGTGTCAGCAGAGGGGTGGAGCTTCAGTTGTTCAGGGAGGATTTAGGCAACATTAAACCCCTCCTCCACTCCACTAGTTCCAGCAGTTTTGTTGGAATACTGTCTCGGTAAGAGTTATTAATAAATCATTTTTAAATTATTAACTTAAAGTGAGTGCTGAATTATAGCAAAGGCAATCTTAATGTAACAATCAAGGAAATGAGGAATACAAAAACCAATAAAGACCAATCCTGAAAAATAAACGCTGGAGAATTCACAGGGAAATTCACTAAAGATTCACTAAAAATAAGTTGCGGCTGCTGATGAGTAACAATATAAAAGCCAATTATTTAATGTAGCAAACCACATGTTTTAACATAATTTAACACTTAACCTTTAACCTTTATAACATCATGCTTTATATACAGTAGCACCTGGTCTACTTTGGACAATGGGTGGTTACAGGGTTGTTGCGTTGTTTGGTTTAGTGTGAAGAAATATTACTCTAATCTGTTTTCCTGTTTGTCATGGATATTTTGCAGCATATTGCACAAAAAAAATGCCACTCTCCATCTTACGCACCCTGACAATAATGATCTGATCCGGATCTGATCCCTGCAGGCCTGCATGCTGGTGTTTTATCCAGACTTTAAGTCAAGCGGGGTTCTGGTATACGGCTTTGTGCCTCACTGCACTCAGGTAGATAGACTTTATGATTATATTGGTGCATATAAGTAAAGATGATTAAATATTCTTCCTTGTGTTCATTAATTGACAAGCAGTATGTAAAACATACCTTGATTATTTTTAATTAGTATTTTAGATCTTAATTCTAGATCTCAATTTAGATCTTAAATCTCTTTAGATCTCAATTGTCATTTATCAATATACTGTATGTAATATTAATCAGAAGACTATAAAAAGCATTAAGATGTTTAAACTGAATTAACCCAACTATTTGTGTATTTATTGTTTTGAATTGTGTAATATTTACTCGTTTAGGCCACACTGTTTGGTGATTTGAGTGGACAAGAGATCAAAACAATGGTTTCCACCACAGAACTACAAAAGACAAAGGGAACTGTGAGTGAACATTTTAAATACTTCATATAATCTGAAACCTCACCAGTAATTCATTAGGTGTTTGAAGAGTTGTGTGTGTGTGTGTGTGTGTGTGTGTGTGGTTCCTTCACAAGTTAACAGCAAGAGCGATCATCAGAGACTATGAAGATGGCATTCTAGGCAACAGTGAGGCAGAACACGAGGTACAATATTTGGCTGCATGATGATAATTTTTATATAATTGGCAGATTTGCTAACAGAAGAACTTGACTTGCTCTCTTTTATCTCTCTTCTATCAGGGGAAGAAAGCAGAGCTGAAGTCCTACATCACTGAGCTCAGTGAAGAGTTCTCCATCTTGTCCCAGTTCACAAGTTTTGTCGCCATTGAAGAAAGGGTATGATTACTGCTAATTTAAGGATTATGTGTTCAAATCATTCCTTGGACATACAGTGGGTACGGAAAGTATTCAGACCCCCTTCAATTTTTCACTCTTTGTTATATTGCAGAATATATGAGTGTCACAGCAAAGGGTCTGAATACTTAGGACCATGTGATATTTCAGTTTTTCTTTTTTAATAAATCTGCAAAAATGTCAACGATTCTGTGTTTTTCTGTCAATATGGGGTGCTGTGTGTACATTAATGAGGAAAAAAAATTAACTTTAATGATTTTAGCAAATGGCTGCAATATAACAAAGAGTGAAAAATTGAAGGGGGTCTGAATACTTTCCGTACCCACTGTATATTACTACAAAAATTTTATTTTTACATAATATTTATTTACAAATTCACCCAAAAAAGGCTTAGGTCTAAATCCTATTTATTAAAATATTAATAATAAAAATATATTATTTCAACAAAATATTAATGAAAATATTATGAATTAATGAATAAATCATTTAAAATTAATACAGAATAAAGAATTGCATTTTCTGACTTGTGACACTAAATGGCCAAACAGGGAAATGTATTGCCAATGCTGATCATTAAAAAATACCAATATTGTCTGATTTATTAGCCTTGAACATGTCACTCAACTTCTACTAAAGTGTGATATATAAAAATTAAACTGAATGGCTTCTGTAACCTCAGTTGCTCTTTGCAGGACCAGAATGAGCTTGACACTGGATTCACAGATATTCCTAAAATCATCTCAGAGGAGGATGTGGATATTTTGCCATATATGGGCTGGACTGAAGAGAAGCTGAAGGCCGCGTATAGTATTGGTGCTGAAGATGATGATGTATGGGTAACAACAAAATGGTCTATTACAACTGTTGTCATGTAAATGTAGCACCATGTAATGTATTCACAACAATGCATTTCAAATTTAGGGTTTTTTTTTCCAGATGGAATCAGAAGAATTGTCCAGTAGCAGCTCCACGTATCATGATTTGGATATGGATTGCATGGAAGGACACATTTGGAATGAAATGTCTAGTGAAATTGGTCATTGCGAAATGGAGGATGCTGAGGGATCTAGTAATTATTTTATAGAAAGGTCTGCAGCTCCCCCTGAACCTCAGCTAATATCCAGATCTTATGCTTCTTGCTCAAGTACCATCCAGAGTCCTTCTCATTCTGAGAGTAGCATTGACGTTTTCATAGGCTCAAGCAGGCGTTCTGCAAATATGGATGTGTTTGGTATTACCGCTCCAAAGCCTTATAGTGGCCGTGCCACCGCACTTGACCTCTCTGGTATATCTGCTCCAAAGTCTCACCGTCGCCGGGCTGCCGCTCCGACTGTTAGTGCCATCAAGTCCATACCTTCCTCCATGAGTGACAGGCCTCCCCTTCACGCTGCCGTAATGCCTCCTTATGATTCCTCCATAAGAGACGAGCATCCCTTTTACTGTACTGCCGCAGTGCCTTCTTTCCTTCAGTATCCTCCTATTTTTGCATCAGCAGACTCTCTGTCCAGAGATGACAGCCTTCCTCCTGTTGGTGCCAGTGTGCAAAGTACTAGCTCCATGTATAAAAGACGTCCCATTTTACATGCCAGCAGTGCACACGTCATACAGTTTGCAGGTCCTCCTGATTCTACTCATCTTGCATCCACACGGTCCATGTTCACGACTCCCCTGCCACCTCCTCCTCCTCCTTCAAGCATGATGGCTGCTGTCCCCGCATTCTATTCTCAGTTGCATTTTCCCCCTACATTTAGTGACTGCAGTAGTAGCCCCACAATTTTGAGTGAGTCTCTTAGTTTGTGTTCCTCATCAGTTGGACATTTCTTTGAAGCATCTCGTCAACAACAAGCACAACAGCAACAAGAAGTGCTGCAAGATGTGCAACTACAAGAGCAACAAATATGTCTGAGTTCTATGAGTTCTGCACCTGGTAAGTTGACTCTGACTGATGAGGTTGATGAGGTTCCTTCTGTGATCATTGTTCAGATGGATTAAAACATCTTTTCTATCCTTTGTGTCATTTCTCATGAAGCTGCAGACAGTTTCACTTTTGATTTTGACACTTCTCGATATAAAAAAAAAAGAGGGAAAAGAGTAAAGGCAAGCTTGGCACGACATTTCGCACCACCTCACGACAGCTTGCCAAAAATGAGAAGAAAATATGACACAGTGGCCTGGAATGAGCTTTTTGAACTTCAAGATAAGGTGTTTACATATGATTTAAAACACTAGATTATATACAGTATGTAAATGATTGAGGGAATATGAACATATGCGTTGTGTTTGGATGTAGGATGGATACTGGGAGTGCACTGACAGGCTGAGCAGCTTCCTCAACCTGGACGTAGACTTTTTTGCCAATGTCTTCCTTAAGGAGAAAGGCATCCGTTCTTTTGGTAAGATTTTTTTACATGCTTGTTGCTGGTCTGGTCCATATTGCAGCTTATTCTCGACAAGAACCGCCCACTTAGACAGGAAGAGACATCTGACTGGCACGTAAAGCAACTAATCACAGTTTGTTCATATGTGCCATTTAGGTGCCATATGTACCTTGTGAACACAACTGTTTCCAGACAGACTGAGAAAAACACCTGTGCCTTTACTGTGTAACACCATCCAATCATAGTAGAGCTTACTAGACTGAGAAAGTGCTTTCCAGTTTAAAGAGCAATATGCATCAGGCTGAATCTGAATATAGTTTAAAATAATCTAATCTTTATTTTTCAGGCACAGTTTGTCAGTGAGGATCAGTTAATCAGTCACATGTTTTGTCTGTCAGGTGTGAAGGCTCATGCTGACATTCTGAGGCTGGTGGCGACTCTTCTGGTGCTGCAGCTGATCCGGGTGAAGAAGCTGGCAGTGGGACAGCTGCTCGAGTCTCTCCTCCGGCTGAAAGAGTCCCAGGAGCCCAGGTACCAGCACACGTCCTCATACAGCGCAGTGATTTACTCTTGTATTTTTGGATCCATGACTTTCTACTCTTCTCCATTCAGACCGATGTACTGGGAAGCAGTGAAGAGGGCCGTGGCCTGGGCCTGCCGGACAGACAGACAGCATCCGTGTGTGTGCAGCAGGCTGGAGATCGGCCGGGATTGGGAATCATCTACACGTCAACTACTGGGCTGTGATTCTCCACACCCATATTCCCCACTCAAACCTGTTCTGGAGAGACGTATGGATGTATCAGTCATGTAGAAACTGGACAGACACTTTCCTCTTCATTGACAGTTGTTGTTTTTGCTGTTTGCTTAATATTGCAAAAATCTTTATAGCCTTAAATTGTCTCAAAGATATATTTGGACACTTCAGTCACACTTAAAATGTCTGAATTTCATTGCAAAATGTTATATCTATATCTTTAGTTGAAAGATAAATTATTTTATATGTTTTTTTTTAAGTATATGTATAGACATTCAGTCATTAAGTTTGGCTTCAGTATTCAGTCCAAATACTTTTTGTGGTACTGTATTGTTCTGTGTGAACTTGAGGAGAAGTTACTTAATACATCCACTAAAAATCACTTTCAGACCAGCTGGTTAACTGCTTGAAATGCATTTATGGCTATATGATGAGAATTATGCTTGGTTAACTGTATTTTAGTGGTCTTAGTAGAGTTTAATAAAGCAGTTTTTGTGAAGTTTACGTTATTGTTATGTAACAGTATAATTATATTAACCACAAACCAAGTAATCACTGTTTTATCCGCTTTCTTTCAGTTTTAGTTATTTCAGTATACTAAGTTAAACTAAATGAAAAGGAGAAATGTTGCTTTGGAAAATAGCTGAAATACAAAGTATTTTATGTTTTACTTCATTTCAGTTTATTTGAAGTCATTTTTATGATTTTAATTTTAGTTTCAGTTTTGGTTTTAGTTATCTATATAATAACCCTGATTGTAATAAATGAACATGCATTTGGATTTGGATTGTGGTATATATTGATTTTATGAACTTTATTTTTATTGAACAGAAAGTACAAAAAATGACATACACAAGACATACACATTTTTACAGTAAATATACAGTGACTCAAGGATATACACAGACAGTTATTAATCATATAATATATTATCGTTAAGAATCCTACAGTATATCTTTACAATTATACGGTGGGAATTACTTTGTAGAGCCACTTGTAATTACTAGCACTTATTCAGCATCTGTGCCCGACCACTTTGGAAACAGAAAATATCTGTGTAGGTCAGACAGGACCCATTTCTCAATGATTGGGTCACTTTTTGAAAACTTTACAGTTATCCTAACCAACTTTTAGTTGGCACAGCACTTAAATTCACAATCAAAATACACTAAAACTACCAAAACATTTTTACATGTGTTAAAGCAAGTGCCTGATAGCACACATACATCACGAAGACTAGTTTTGATGAAGTCTAATGAAGTCTATTTGACGTCTGCATTTACATCTGCAAGACGTCTATAGGACGTTTCCTATCAGATGTAAAATAGACATTTAGAAGACGCCTTTAAGATGTTTATGATTTAGAATGTATGTAAAACTGACATCTTAGAGACGTCTGTCAGATGTTTATACACAGCAGATGCTTTCCAGATTAAGCGATATTGTGCTATTTCCATGACATGTAAATTTCCATTAGAATTCATTGAAAGCATTTTGTGCAAAAGCAATGGAAAATGAGATCGTAGAAAACTGTAATTTGCATTTACTAGTACCACAACTCAGAATACTAATTTATTCTTGATTTAGAGGATGCTCTTGATGAGAACTGAATTCAGACTGACATTCAAATGAAATACAACAAATCATTGGACATGTACTCATGGTTCATATCTTTAGGAAGCTTTTCTACATAAAAATTTGAGCGAGATATATTAGACCAAGCTTCTGTAGCCTTTTCAGTTATTTGTGTGGTTATATTATATCTAGACTCACTACTTTCAATATCACAAATGTGATTTGAGCATATTCTTTCTGCTCTCTTTTTGGCTATTTGTCGCAATTTTTCATCCAAATGTTTATCTGTTTCCTCAGACAGGAGCTCCTCGTAGCGCGTCTTGTAATATGGTTTTCCTTTGCAGATCTTGTAATAGCAGTTCTTCAGACAGCTGGAGGGGTTACAGATCTCACAACATTCGGCATTTAAACGCCGAAAAGAAAAACTGTCACAATATATCCCAATCTTGATGTTTGATGTCAGCCACCATCCACAGAACCCAACAGCTATGCAGATGTAACCGTAAAACTGCAAAAGATGTTTGATGTTTAATCAGTTGTTTCGATTCATAATTATGCTTAAATCTTGAACTGAATGGCAGATTCAACTGTGACCGCTTGTCCCACAAAGAGATTAAACTGTATCGGTTTTCCTGTGCAATAATGGTGGGAAAGTTGAATAGCTTTTGATTGTCATTCGTGCTGGGTCTCCAAACTCGGTCCTGGAGGGCCGGTGTCCTTATTTTTAAAATAAAGAACAATATCAAGGAATGAGCGCAAGGTAAATAGCTCCAACCCTAATTAAACACACCTGAACCAGCTAAAGAACGAAGGCCCGCCTCTCCATTCATTCTTCTTCTTCTTCTTCTTCTTCTTCTTCTTCTTCTTCTTCTTTTTACTGGCAACCGCACTTAACAGTGTTAACAGTGTCTTCGTCTTCTTTTTTTCAACTTCAGGTGCTCAGAGCGCTCCTACAAAAACGCGCATAAACAGCGCGCAAAACGCTCACTGCCAATCCACCTTCTTCTTCAACGCGGAAGTAAGCCTATGGGTGAGACTTCCGGTTCATAGCCGCTATAGGGAAATAACGAGGAGAATAACAGTGCAGTAAACGGTAAAACTGTTTGCACTACAAACCTGTGTGTTCATAATTAAGATAATACATTAAAATAGTATGATAAGACACACCAGTTTTCGATATCAAGCAGCAAAATGTTTTGTACAGCTAAATATAGCTGGATGCCGATGAGACCGGAAGCTAGACCCATAGAATTTACAAATGGCTGCGCCCATTTTTACGGCAAGAAAAAGGTGGATAGAAAACCATTTAAAAAAAAATGCGCCTCTCATTGTAGAAAAACGAGTTCTGTATGACCGGGGCCTTGTGTGTAATGAACCCACATTGAGGAAATCAACTGGCATAAAAAAGACAGCTAGTCTCTCCTGGCAATCAGAAGTTAACAAACTGCAACAGTCCAAACATGATTATTTTTTATATCAGCCACCACTGAAAACAGTATAAGAAAGGTCTCTCTAAGAAAATAGGCTACTTACCTGTGACTTGTTTTTGTAGATTGTAATCGTGCTCTCTTCTTGAAGAGTGAGATCTGAGTCCTTCTTGCATGGAATTTCACGCAGTGTGTCATTATGTTTGGTTGCCATACAGAGATAAAAGTCTCCATCTAAAAGAACAAATCCCCCCCAGAATAGACCGATTCCAAGAAGCTGGAAGAGTTGAGGACAAAGACCGTGACAACAGGCTGCACAATTTTTTGTTTTGGTTTGTTTCATTATTTTTAAAATAAAGAACAATATCAGAGGAATGAGCGCAAGGTAAATGATCACAATATAATGAAACTCAGGTGTGCAGGAGCATGAAAACTCAGAATTAAAGATGTACTGAAAAATGTAAATCATAATAAAAACTAGAAATACATTTGCAGCCTGTGACAGTATCACACGCATTTTGTCTGGAATATCAGAGAAAAGATGCGGCATTGTTGATCAGCTGAAGTTCAGATGCAGAGGTTCAAGACAAATGTTTCCTCTCTCCTGAAGTCTTGACTGAGTCCTCGAGGCAACTGTATATCAGTCAAGATGTCATTTCTCAGGATGGTTTTAAACGGTCTAGTTTTACCACAACAATAGGTTCCTCTTTGGAAGTTTGAAAGTGACATACAGATGTGAGAATTTGTTCCAAAAATGCAGTGTGTTGTGGTTTCAATATGAGCTTTTGAAGGATTCGTACAGCTCATGATATGTTGATTATGCAACTCCAACAACAGTGTATTCTTTCTTTCTTTCTTTCTTTCTTTCCAACAATGAATAAATTATTAACAGAATGAAAAATAAAAAGGAGATGAAATAACTATAAATATATATTAATGCCAGACTGTTTTGAAAGAAATACGTCTTTAAAATTGCCATTATGTGTCCAGGTCAATCACCCACTTTTCCTTAATATTATACAATTTCACAAAATAAATGTCCTGGAGTATTTCATACATTTTTCCAGTTATTCAGTCATATACAATTAGATTTATTATGTGCATCAAAAGGGATATTGCTTACTGTATTTATTTGAACTTCCTCTTTCAAATAACTTACAGATACATTTGCTGTAATTTATCAGATATTTGAACAATAACAATTTTGATACTACCCTGTAAAAAATGGTGTAAGACTTACGTTCAAGCAATTTTCACACATAAATTGTTAGTACATTTGACAAACAATTACAAAGAAATGCAAATAACACATTGATTTAACTGAAGTAGAGAGAATTAAATAGTATATTCTTGTAAAACCTATTCCAATAATCATTGCTTTATTTACAACTTCCAAAATCATTTTTTTTACAGAGTACATCCTCAAATGTGTCCCTTTTTCATTGCACATCTTACAAAGCCTTAGCAGTTGTCATTAGCACTTCAGGATGCTGTGTAAAATCTGGATCTCATGCTATTTCTCTGAAATAAATCACTTGTGTTCATTGCTTTATAAATCCTTCTACAATTTTTTTTTCATGTATACAATTATATTTTCTTATTTTTTCCACAGAATATCACTGTGCTAAATTAATCCACTGACACAGTCTCATTCTCATTTTAAAAAGTACTATCTGCTTTTGATTCACATCAGAATTGATTTAGTAACCTGAACTCTTGATAAACCCAGTTGCATGTGCCTACATACACTATGTTCAGGCTCCGCTGTATATTTTTGTGAAAAGTGAAGTAAGACAGTCTGAATAAGTCACCTGATGTCTGAGTCCATGCAAGACCACAATTGCAAAATATGTTTCCCACCCCCCCACATACATTACTGTGCCAGCATGAGTTTTTCAGCTGGTATATGATTTCACAAACCAATTTCCCAAAAGTAACCTAATGACATAGTCCATTATCAAATACCACTTTCTCAAAATCTTAACCCTTTAAGCCACGAAGGAGTTTTTGCCTCCCTGAAGATGTTGTTTTTTCTGAGTGACATACACAAAAATAATGACTCATAACTCCAAGACTGTATCAAGGAGAGTCAAAAGATTGGTATCGTTTGATAGATAGAACAATTGTTTCATTTGGACATTGTCATGCTGAGAAATAACTGATAAAAAAAGTGTAAGAAAAATTTGTGTGCTCAAGGAAAATTTTACATATCTGTCTTATTTGACATTCAATATCTCAGGACAGAAATATTTTTTGTGGATGTTCCCCATCAAGTTAGCAGTACCTGTTTTAAATTTTGTGGTAATAGCATAAAGTATCCAGAAGTTACAGCATTTTGGAACAAAAGAGGCCTTTTGTTTAACCCTTGACTCCCTGAAGGCATTTTAAAAATTGTTGTTTTCTGAGTGACATACTCAAAAATAATGACTCATAACTCCAAAACTGTAGCAAGGAGAGTCAAAAAGTATCGTTTGATAGAAATCTTTCTATATTTTTACGGGAAAAAATTCTTTACATTTGGGCATTCTCATGCTGAGAAATAGGTGAAAAAATGTAAGAAAAAATTTGTGTATTCAAGGGA